ACTGTTTTACTTTTGGCTGGCCGCGATAATGAAGAGGCTTTTTCTTTTTGGGGAACGGATTTAGATGTTTTAGCCATTATAGTGTAAAAGTTCAAGAGAAGAGAAAGGGTTGATTGTGAAGTAAGGGTGATTTGAAGAAAAGGGAGAACCTAGAGAAGTTGAAGAAGCTAATGAGATTTTGAAAACAATCTGAGATGTAAAGTTTGTAAAGTTGGTAAGTTGGCCTATTTATAAAAGTCACTCAAGCGTATTGGAGAAGCCGAGTAGCGACCAGTACTGGCGTGTATTTAATGTTTTGGGGAAACAGACCGACGGGATGTTTCAGTCACTTCGAGCGCCTATGTCACGGGAATGACATCATCATTATAGATTTCGGGGAATCGAGGTCCAAATTATCTCTTATCGTCTTACTCTAAGAAACGCGGGGACTAGCTGTATACGATCGAGATCGTATGCCTTCGATCTGTAGGCTCGATAGATCGCCCAAAGCCCGAGTTCAAGTGAGATCAAGTTCGAGTTCGGGGGACCGGACAAGGGCGAAGACAGAGCACGATGCATACCGAGGCCGAGCATGCTCAACCCCGAAATAGTATTGTTATGGATTTGTAACAGATTGAGCTAGATTCCTTCCACGTCCCCTGGATTGTAGCGCAAATCCCGAAATAGGATTGTACGATTCCGTACTAGGCGGTTAGACGGATGTATCAAGAATATTCCTTACTGTAAATAGAAATATGCCTTAATTAGGGTTCCCCCATTATATAAAGCGGACCCCAATCATTTGTAACATCATCTCATCATTGGCAAGAATATACTATCCTACTTTACTCTCTTACTGTTCATCAAAATTGTCCTTTACATTTATTGTTCTTACTTTATTGCTCTTAATCCATCTCGAGGTCACTAAGCTCGAGGTCACTACTGCTGAATAACATTGGTTTGGTTCACTTATTTCTTTCGTTTCTACTTCATATTTCTTGATTATTAATTGGTATTGAAGTTAATCACATATCTTTAAAACCACAAATCAAATTTAATTGTTACTCGTATTTTCGAGGTAAACAATACATGTTGTATATATTAGTCTATAAATAGGTTAGCTCAATACACAAAACATCCTGTGTTCACACAGGGTCGGAAAGGTTGCACTCCAAAGGGTGTAATGTAGGCAGTCTACTCTGACGCAAACATCAATGGCTGATTTCACGGCTTGAACTCGCGACCGAACACATGCGAAAATAATTTTATCATTGCTCCAAGTCCCTTTCACACTATATGAGTCTATATTTAGGTAAAAATATTGATTGCTAAAACTTAAAGAAAAGAAAAGCAAGGGAAATGCTTGATTTGTTTAGCATCAAGAGAGTTGCACGCGTGAACAGGTCCAGCCCTACCAACTACTCTTCGGTTTTAAATGTATATAATTGGAACATTTAAAATTTAAAAAAAAATATTTATGTTAGGTTCGGATTCAATGTCATAGGAGAGTTGTACTTAAAATCTGGGATTTTCTCACTCAAGAGAGATCATGTTTGATAGAATTCCGTCTTATCCATGTCTCGACGTCACAAAGCTAGACGATAAGGATTGATACAGAAGTTCCACCGGCGAAGGCTCTAGTAGGAGTGTATGTAAATTTATTTACCAGCACCAAGTGTGTATATCAAACGATGTCAGTTAAAAATTAAAGTGAGAATCAATATTTACTGGTGGTTTGGTGTAAATATGAGCAAGTTTTTAGTGAGATTCTTTAGTTCACAATGTGAATAGATGGTAAGCAACCATAGGCCACCTCATCAAAGCCTGTAAAGGTTTAAAGAACAACTTGTAGGGGTTTCTTGACCCTTGTTAATATCTAAAGAATAACTTTAAAGATGATATATGCAAGAATTTTTATACCCATTCGTTCACACTTCCTTTTTGGTCCCCTATTCACTAGCTCAAGGCCCTGCTCTTTCCTTGCAATGAAAACAAAGAGTCAAATTCAGAAACTTATAAAATTGAAATAAAGGAAAGGATTAATTAAAGATCACATATGTGTGTAGAGAATCCTTCTTTAAAGGATTCTTTCTTGATAATGGCCACCCTAAATTAAAGAGCCAGAAGAAGAGGCTTTTTCAGAGTCACTTTCTTTCAATTTTCCAAGTTTTTGGCATTCTGAAACTTGTCTTTGCATGCGCAGAGATTAAAAATTGATGGATCTCTTTTGTGGGGTTGAGAGTAAAGGGGTGGCCTTAGAATTCCTTATCTCTTGGCTTTGATTATTTTGTAAGATAATGCACTTTTACTTTTCTCTGTTGCTAAGGTAGTCTCAGTAGCCAATAGATTTGGTGTTTTCATCTCTTTTGTGAGCTCAACACATAAGAAAAGTTTTATACCACTTTAACTGCTTGTACTTAGCTAGCTTTAACTTATTAATCATCTAGCATACTACTTTGGTTAAGCTTTAAATGGGCAGGCCAGAGTACTAAACTTCCGCTATGCACGGGGTCTGAAGAAGGATCGGATCATAAGGGTCTATTGTATGCAACCTTATCCAGCATTCTTGCAATAGACTGTTTTCACGGCTCGAACCCGTGACCTCTTGGTCACATGACAGTAACTTTACCAGTTACGCCAAAGCTTCCCTTCAACTAATTTTGCCAGTTAATATTTACTCTGTGAATTTTTATAATAAATTATTTAATTTATGGACGCATTTAGGGGGATGGAGAAATACATAAACAGCCCCTCTAAGTCGTCCACAACGGTCAAACAGCCACTTCAACAGACTCGTTTATCATTTAGACACCTCAAGTGATTATTAAGTGCATCAAATAAACACATGTTGCTGATGTGGCATATACGTGTTTGCTAACAAAATTTTAAGCGCGTGAAGTCATTTTTCTGCCTAATTTTGTTTTCTTAAAAAAATAAAAAACCTCATAGCAGCTAACTGAACTAAGCCCACCATGAAACCACCGTTGAGTCAAGGAAAATCAGCCATTAAAGCTCGAACTAAACCACCGTAAACCATCCGAAACAGCCACCTTTCACCATAAAACTCTACTGCTTGTAACCTTCAGAGCTTCGCCTAGTTTCGTTGACTCAAAATCAGTCCCAGACATAGCTGAAAGAAGCAGCAAAAATGCAGCAACAAGAGTAAACCACGAAAATTTTTTCTCAGTAGTCCTGTCACCCGCATCTCCACCATAAGAACACAATTTTGTCCCTCTTTCGTCTTCATCGGCAAATAATTTTAAGGACAATTTAACACCAAAAATAACAAATTAGAGAAAAAAGTGATATAAGCTCATTCATAATCAAGAAAATAATGGAGAGAGAAGAGAGAAGAGTGAAGATTCCAGTAGAATCGGTTTTTAACTTTGCTTGAAGAACAAATTTTCCGGCGATACAGGTCGCATAGGAGGAGCTTTTCCGACGAGGTCCGTTAATAATCACTTACTGGGTTCTCTATTTGGCTATTCTCAGATTGTTTTATATTAATATGACTTTTAATTTGTCGGGTGGATTTGTGAAAAGGAAATGGGGATTGAATCAGAGCAAAGAAGAAGATAAAAGGGAAGGGGGGGAGGGGAGGAAGGCGGCGTTGTTTTTGATAAAAGTAAAAAAAATGGGTTTCTTTTTATATATTTTCATTTTTGTTAATTATATATGTTAATTTTTTATTACAAATTACACGTGTCGTTTTTTTATTGGCTTATTTGACACATCACTGGCAAGTGTAACTCACGCATATTGTCTTCTGCACTCGGGGGTTTATTTGATACACTTAATAATCACTTGAAGTGTCTAAATGATAAGCGTGTCTGTTGAAGTGGCTGTTTGACCGTTGTGGACAACTTAGAGGGGTTGTTTATGTATTTTGCCATAAACCTACCTAATATGGACCGTGGACCAATAACTTACGGTACTTGCCTACTTTTTATCTGTTTTTTCTCTTGCTCAACTACTATCTCTATTTTGCGGTTGAAATCATTTGCTGGATCGAACTCAAGAACTCGCAAATCCTTCTATATTAAGATATCAGTTGAAAAACTAATAGAAAAGATCATGAATCAGCCATCAAGAGAACCAAACCATTGAAAAAGTTACTTGGAGAAGTTTCAAAGTCTCTATAGTGTGTGTACTTAAACTCCATTATTCATTTAACCTTGCGTGCAAATACTAAATTCTCAACAATAATACAAATGAGACGTCCATTTAATGGACAAAGTTCCAATTATAAAATACCTCCAAAAAGTCGCCGTTCATTCGGTGAGCCATGTGAATTAAGCTGATCAAGCTATTAGTCGATGGCCATAAATACACAACGTTTCATGCCTGAGTGACAGATACACCCTTGGTCGATAAAACTCACAAATAATGCAAATAAACCCTAAGTTAGGATAAGAATTAAAGCATTAGAACCACTACAATCTCAAGCTCAAACACAAATACAAACAGGAGCGTAGGCCGTAGTTATGAACCCCACGTTTGTATTTTGGCACAATAGAATCAATAGTTATTTGCAGCTGACCCGATCAATAGGATAATACTCACTTCAAATAAATTGAAACTCGATACATTACATAGTACTAAAATTTAACGCGGGAGAGTTGCCTATTGATTAATCTTAAAATATTTGCAAGTAAAACCCACAAAAAAATGTTCATAGCTTTAGCACAAAGATAACACAACCACAAGTCTACATATCTGCACATTGAAACCATATGCAATAAAGAAACAGAACGTGGTAGGGTCCTCCAACCTTAACTCCATGGGCCAATACTTGACATCACGAGGAGTCGAGGACCATTCTGAATTCAGAATCTTTTTTTTTTAAAAGAATATTGGATCCCTTCCTTATATATCAACAAGTTTCAAGATAGTAAAGCAAGTGCAAAACAATATGCGTGTTCATTTATTCAACTGGAAACCTTCTTATATTTTGCTGCCTAGCTAAGTGAAAACTTTGTAATAACAAAGATCACATAATATAAGAGCATAAGACACAAAAGCAATACTAAAATCATACATAATTATATTAAGCTAGGAAAAACAACAAGACACATACAAAGTAGTCTCCCTCTGGTCATGCATATACAAAAACCACAGCCTGACCAAAGATGGAGAGGGACCTTAAACCACTACTACTATTACATAGTACTCCATATCAACATGAATCTAACTCTTTAAATGACTCCATTAACTACTTGACTGACCTCTTGCAAATGTCAAAAACCTCATTGCAAGATGCCATTATCTGACTGACTCCATACATAATTATAAAACCTAAAGATTACAACATTAAAAAAGAAAGGAACACTACAAATTTCAAAGAGCTGCCCAATCAATCTCCACTGATGGATACTTTGGTAAAAAGAAGTTTTCTGATTCATCAAATGAAGGCTCAATGAAATCCAGGAAAGTAATATCAGACTCAGGCGATGATGTCACTGCTGATGATGATGATGATTCCTCAGATGGTGCAGGTGATGATGATGACGGGGCCTCAATCTTGACATTAACATTTTCTGGACAATCTTGAACTGAAACTGAATCCAATTTGGCTGCTGCTTTTTTGGACTTTCTTGGCTTGGAATCAGAATTACTATTAGAAGACAAGTCATCAGAATTGGCTAGGTTTTGGCAAATGGCTTGAAGTTTAGCATCAACAGAGGAATGCAAAGGCTTAAAATCAGATAATTCATTGTTTAATTGATGCCTTAGATGTGGAAAATTAAGCCTAGCAAACTCTCCTCTTAGCTTATAAGCAGCTTTGTCATAAGCCAAAGCAGCTTCTTCAGCTGTATCAAAAGTGCCAAGCCAAAGCCTAGTTCTATTCTTAGGAAGTCTAATTTCAGCTACCCACTTACCCCAATGACGTTGTCTCACTCCTCTATAAAGCTTTGTAGGCTTCTGTATAGCACCACCAGTTTGCTTCATTGGGACTGGTTTAAGACCAAGATAGTTCATTGAATTCAAATTCTTAGAATATGTTGGAGTTGTTGGTAATAAACCTAAGCTCTGTTGTTGTTGTAGTAAAAGTTGTTGTTGTTGTTGTTGGTTTTGGAACTGGATCTGGGCTTGGATTTGGAAGATCTGAGAAGGGGTAAGATGGTTAAGTCCAATTGAACCTGTTTCAGCTACATGGCCCATAGGGTTAAAACTCGAAGATGGGATAGTGCAGAAATCAGTATACAAATTGGGTTCACCAAAAGGATAGAAACAAGAAGAAGATGTTGAAGGTGAAGAAGAAGAAGAGGATGGAGAAACAGAAGGAGAAATAGAAGAAGAACAAGAAGCACCTTTCATAAAAGGTTCAAGCGCTTTCATGAGTTCTTCTGATAAAGGATCTGAAAAAACTGAACTGCTGTTACTGTATATGTCTATAGCTGCTGCCATGGTTAATATCAGAGCACACAATGAAACAAAAAACCAAGAATACACAATAAAAAGATGACCTGTTTCTTATACCAAAACTACAAAACAGGTAGAGATTTAGAAGGAAAAAATTACAAGCTTTTCTACAAAGTTGAAATGAAAAATCAAGAACCAAAAACCAACCTTAAGGGATACAAAAACAGACCCTTGTGGTTGTTTTGATCAAAGAAAAAATTTGGAAAATAATAAAAAAGCTATAGGAATAAAAAGAGAACCTGGGATCTCTGTTCTGAATCACCTGGCTTTCAAAACAAAATACCCAAAAGGGGGGTTTGATTCTGTCGAAAATATGTCAAGAAAAACACACCCTTTAGTTTGAAAGACACAGACGAGGACAGAAAGGGATCTCAAGAAGCGGGATGTTACAGAGGGGGAAGAAGAAAATAATAAAATCAAATACACACACAAGTATTGTAGGTAGCCTCGCTTATTTTTTTCACTCTGAACAAATGGAGCAGATGCTCTCTGTATTTAAAGACCTGCTATGTGCCTCTCTCTCTCTCTCTCTCTCTCTCTCCATTGAGTTTCCTTTTTTTCTTTTTTCTTTTCTGGTTTTTTTTTTATTCATATTTTCCACTATGGCTCACCGAATCTATTTTTACCATGCCCCCACCTATGAGGAAATAATATTCCTTTTATTTCAAGTTGTACTATTTGAGATTTATTTCTTTGTTAGTTTTCAGAACCTTTTTATACGAGTTATCCCTCTTTTAAATTCAAATTTGAAAAAATAAATCAATTTCCAAAGACTTGAATTTTAGAAATCTCACCCACATCATGTTCAAATTATAATCTAAAAAGAGCTGCATCTTCTATTTTTGAAATTATTTAGCTCCCGTTTGGCTAAATATTTTGTCTCATTATTTCAAAAAAAATATTACTAAAATATTGTTTGTTTATGAAATATGATCATGATTTGGAGAAAAAAATTTCAAAAATTTTTAACTTCCCAACAACTGATCTAGGGCAGTTTTTGGGTGAAATATTTTCTCCCACTCACAAAATTTTAACTTTTCTTCAAATAAAATGCATGCCCAAAAATAATTTTAACTTTTAAAAATTATTTTTCAACACAATTTCAAAATTCCTTTTTTCAAGTTTCAATCAAATCTATGTCCAAAAGCTAGCTTAATCTTAATGGGCGTCTGGACATAAAAATTGTAAAATTCCAAAAAAAAAAATGAAATAAATTTCAAGTGAAAATGATATTTGAAAGTTAGAGCTGTGTTTGAACATGAATATAATTTTGGGCTGTTTTAATTTTTGTGAGTGATTTGAAGTGAAAATTTTGAAAAACAACCTTTTGGAGTTTTTAAAATTTTGGAAAAATTTCGAAATTCATCTTCAAGTGAAAATTGAAGATTTCATTACCAAACGTTGATTTCGAAGAAAAAATAAAAAAATTTGTATGGCCAAACGACCCTTTAATATTCCATCTACTATCAATGACCTACTTTGTTGGAAATTTTTAACATAAAATGAAAAGATAAGTGAAACTCTCATCACCGCTCGTTTTAAATAATAGTAGTTTTTGTTTTATTAGATACTTGACTTATATTTAAAAAAGTTAAATTCTTAAACATGATTATCCAATAGAATATTTTCGCATAAAATGTGTAGGTGGAATTACTACTTTATACTTAAATGATGGCATTTTTGTTATCTCTTTTATAGTTTTTTTATAAAAGTATAATATAATGTGATCCATTTAAACGATATGGTTAATTTTATAAAATGAACTATAATGACAATCATCTGAGAGAGAGAGAGTATTTAACAAATTTTTTTATTAAAAAATAAATTATCCCCAACAGTAGGTCGAAGTACTACTTTATACTTAAAGGGTGGCATTTTTGTCATCTCTTTTTATTGTCTTTTTTAATAAAAATATAATGTGCTTTGATCCATTTAAAAGGTATGGTTAATTTGATTAAATGAACTATAAAGACAATCATTTCAGACAGAGTATTTTACAAATTTTTTATTAAATATATTTTCCTCAACAGGGAGGGTAAAATTTTCATGGTACTAGATCGACATTATAAAATTTACGATAATAAAGGAGTAAATTATTCCTACAATGATCTCAAATTCACCTCTCCTTGTCAAAGTTACAAAAATACCTTGAAATGCGTGAGAATTTAGCTAATCTGACTCTGAAACGTCAGGATAAAGAAAACGCGTTATATTGGCAGGTGGAGGTTGTTTTGCTGCAGTTACACGCGGCGACATATCATTGGATGAATCTAATAAGCTTGACTGGTTATTGCCGGTCTCTGTCAACTTTTTAATTAATTTAATACGTTTTTGTCCTTATCGCTATTCACGTCTTGTTTTGCCAACTGGATGTGACAAAGAAATTGCTTAGAGCACAATTGGATGGATTTGTTTTAAGTTACTTATTTTTGTTATTTTTACTTTAAAGTATTTTTTTTAATTTTATTTAAACGTTACAAAATGATTTAAAAGCAATTATGACTTAAAAGTACTTAAAAGAAATTAATCCAAACGGGTTCTTATAGCCTGTTTGGCCAAGTTTCTTTTTGGCGAAAAGTATTTTTCTTTTTTTGCCAAAAGCACTTTTGGCAAAAAATTGAGGTGTTTGGCCAAGTTTTTGGAAGGAAAAAAGTGCTTTTGAGGAGAAGCAGAAGCAGTTTTGGAGAAGTGGAAAAAAGTAGCTTCTCTTCAAAAGCACTTTTTTGAGAAGCACTTTTGAGAAAAATACACTTAGAAGCAGTTTTTTAAAGCTTGGCCAAACACTAATTGCTGCTCAGAAGTGCTTTTCAAACTAATTAGCCAAACACAAACTGCTTCTCACCAAAAATACTTTTGAGAAAAGCACTTTTGAAAAAAAGCACTTCTCAAAATAAGCTGATTTTTGCAGCTTGGCCAAACGGGCTATTAATTTAACTATCTTTTGCGGCAAAGTTACTCCACCAATCTTGACCTTTTCAAAAGGTTCTGAAAATATTTTTTGAAAATTTCTTCCTGAAAAATAATACTCCATCATTTTATATTGTTATGATAATTATTTGTCACAATAGAAATTATTTGTTAAAAATATTTCTTCACTACAATAGAATCTTTTTTTAATGTGCATAAATGCAATTTGGAAAGGGCAAGAAATTATTCTATAAACTATTGTTCTTAAAGCAAAACAAACAAACAAACACCGTCAAACTTTTTTTTAAAAAAAAAGTTGTAAATGTACTTAAAATAGCACTTTTAAGCAACTCCCCTAATAATAAACACATGATTTTGGATTTAAAGGGTTGGATTTGAATCTAGTTCAGATTCAAGCACGTAAATTAGGAGAAGAATTATATTCTCGAACTCTTTAGGACTATATAGTTTAAAATCAGCATAAAAAGCCAATATATAAATTTAGCTCCTGTATTGGAATTTTTACATTCCTATACACTATATGAAACTATATTACCCTCCCTACTCAAGTTTTACTATAATTACATTTATATACCCAATTACCATTTTATGTACATTTTAAGGCAATTAATGATAATAATTAGTGTCCTAAAATTACTCTAACATATCTTCCACTCCCCCACATTTCTCTCTCCATATCCCACCCCCCTCCCCCACGTATCTTGCACCCACCCTGCCACCCACGATTCCACCATTGACAATCATTAAAAAGCTTTGAAGCTTTGAATTCGAATTTGAATTTTCAAAAAATATTATTTGTTTGAATTGGATGTTGTTGCAAAGAATTGGGAATTCTCTCTACGTCTCTCTCTATCTCTCAATCCCTAATTTCAGTAATGTAAAGCAAAGAAAAACAGAGCAGCAATTCCACCATTTACAGCCATTAAAAAGTTTTGAATTCGAATTTGGGTTTTCAAAAATCATTATTTGTTTGGATTGGTGTTGTTGCAAACAATTGGGAATATGGTTTGGAGTTTATATCTCAATTTTGAGGGGTTTGGTGAAGATTAGACTTGGTTTTTGCTGAATTTCAGACTGAAACTCGAAGAAGAAGAAGAAGACATGATATACATTATATTTATGAAATTGTAGTAAAATTGTAGAAAAATTGTATTCTGTTGTTTATATATTTTTCTTTCATTTATTTAACAATTGTATGAAAGTTGAACAATATTGTATAAAAATTATGATATTGTAGTTGTATATAACTGAGTAGAAATAATGTATGAAAATTGTAGATAAGTTGTATAACTCAAACTTGGCCTTTTAAGCCAACCTTAAGGAACCAAGTGTTCCGATTTCAAGCCAAACTCTTCTAAATCCCGAACTAAACATCCCCACAAGTCATAAATTAGTAAAAGTAAGTACGGAAAGTCTTGTTTAGAGGAATAGGGTTCTAGAAAGAAAAACGACTGGTCGGGTCGTTACATTCTCCACCTCTTAAACAAACGTTCGTCCTCGAACAGGTATAGATTCGTACATGAAGTGCTGAAAAAGTGTGGATATCTACTCCGCATGTCCTCCTCGGACTCCTATGTCGCCTCCTCGACTGGTTGGCCCCTCCATTGAACCTTCACCGCGAAAATCCTCTTGGATCTCAATTGGCGATCATGTCTAGCAACAATGGAAACTAGCTCCTCCTCATAACCCAATCTATCATCTAGCTGAATAGTGCTGAAATCTAACACATGTGACAAGTCGGCGTGATACCTCCGAAGCATAGACACGTGAAAAACCGGATGAACCCCTGATAGGCTGGGAGGTAAAGCAAGCTCATAAGCAACCTCCAACTCGCCTCAACACCTCAAATGGACCTATAAACTTTGGGCTCAACTTGCCCTTCTTTTCGAATCTCATAATCCCCTTCATCGGCGAGACTTTCAAGAGAACCTTCTCGCCTACCATAAATGATACATCACGTGCCTTCTGATCGGCGTAAGTCTTCTGTTTGGACTGCGTTGTCCGAAGTCACTCCTGAATCAACTTTACCTTTTCCAAGACATCCTTCACCATATCAGTACCATATAACCTAGACTCGCCGGGCTCAAACCACCCGATAGGAGAACGACATCGCCGACCTTATAAAGCCTCAAATGGACCTATCTCGATGCCGGACTAACAACTGTTGTTGTAAGCAAACTCGGTCAAGGGCAAGAACTGATCTCTCTGCCGTCCAAAGTCATTCACACATGCTCTGAGCATGTCCTCCAGGATCTGAACTATCCGTTGTAACTGCCCGTCGGTCTGTAGATGAAATGCTGTGTTGAGCTCTACCCGGGTCCCCAACTCACTTTGTACGGCTCTCCAAAAATAGGAAGTCAACTGAGGGCCTCTATCTTATATGATGGAAACAGGCACACCGTGCAACCGAACTATCCCCCTAATATAAATCCGAGTTAACTTCTTTGAAGTGTAGATAGTCACAACCGGAATGAAGTGTGCCGACTTGGTCAGCCTGTCGATAATGATCCAAACTGCATTAAACTTCCACAAGGTCCGCGGCAATCCATCTA